AGTTCGAATTACCCGACCTTGTTGTCTCCCAAGTTCTCCTTCTCCTCCCCACCAAACTCGCTGTTCGGGCCAGCATTCTTTCCAGGCAATGGGAACGGGTGTGGTCTTCGATCCCAGTCTTAGTTTTCAATGAGTATGAGGAGCCAGGCAGTGATTGGCACACCCTCGAGCACAAATTGTTCATTGACTTCTTGAAAAAGTGCTTGAAGTGTCGTGAGAAAGATAAATACACCAGTGGACAAGCTTACGCTTCACATGAGGTATGGTGGAGGGAGAGGAAGCACGGCTATCATAGATAAGTGGACGAGTTTTGCTGTTGAGAGAAACATTAAAGAGATAGACATCATTCTTAAGAGAAAACTTGGCCCTGATAAAAATGCCATATACAAATTATCGCAAACCATTCTCAATGCAAAGTTTTTAACTACACTAAATTTAGAGAATGTGAGAATAGTGGACAATATGAGTCGTATAAACCTTCCGTCTTTGGAATCTATGTCCCTCACGACCGTAGTGTTGAGTAAACTTGGATTCATCCAACTAATTTCTGGGTGCCCTTCCATCGAGTATTTGTCATTAAATCAATGTAGATTAAAGGATGATGTGAAGATTTCGAGTTTGAGCATCAAATCCTTGAAAATTGTTGAATGTAGCATTGTCGGAATGGAAATTGAAGCCATGAATCTCAAATATTTTTTAAGTTGCTGCACGTTCATGAGCAAAATCAATATTGCCTCTTGTCGAACACTTAGAAATCTGAACTTCTCTGATAGATGCTTGGAAGGTGCCTGGTTTGAACATGGCCTTGATTCAAGATTTCCACTCTTGGAGAGTTTAACAATGCATAGCTGCATCATCTCATCGTCAATCATTAACGTCAATAATCAGCAGCTGAAACACATTGCACTTCATGGATACGACAAAAATGTAGCAAAGGTCACGCTTAGTACTCCAAATCTACTTTCTTTCGAGCTCAGTACTGCAGGTTATTTGTCTTCAGCTGAATTCAGTACTTTGGTGTCCAACTTTTCTATCAGTGCTCCAAAGTTGTTAGAGGCTACGATCATCATCAACTTCGATCCAATTGTCGATTCTTATTCGTCTCCTATGAGAAAATTTCTTGGGAACTTTGATTGCTCTAGAAAGTTAAATCTTTCCGTTAATGCCGCCGAGGTATTCTATTTATGCAAGCATGCAGGCTCTTTATGAGTAAATTTTCTGTTCATATATATATATTTATTCCAAATTCCACATTTGTATTGTGATTGATTGATTTCTAATTTTGGTTATTCTTTTTTTTTTCTGGATTGTTTTAGGCTCTTATATTTTCGGAAGAAACAAGAAAGACATGCCGGCCACCGTTACCTACTATCGAGCATCTTGAGGTACAAACATATTCTTCAGCAGACGTGAAAGAGGAGGACTTGGGGAGCTCTTTGGAGTGGTTGGCACCAACTGTGGATAGTCTACGCGTCACTGTGTATGAAGAAAATGAAATCTTTATTCATGGTTAATTAATAGTAGTTTAAAATTTAGAACTGTAAAAGTTGATTTACCAAGTTGGATTATCAGATGAGTGCATTGTGCTTGCTTATATTATTTCACAATCGTTAGAATGATTGAACGTTTTTGGTTTTCTGAATTGCGAAACTTATGAAGGCAGATGCTTTGAGCTACATCGGGTTAAATTGCAGAGATAACTCATCCGACTTATAGGCTGTTTGAATGAGAGATTTTAAATTTTCATTAAACTAAGGCTAATTTGTTAGGAACGTATTACAAAAACTAGTAAGGTGACTTAAAAATAAGCGATACATTTGGAGAACTTTCAATTTACATTTTGAATGGTGTCATTTGAATGTCTTTTTGTTTGGTGCACTTGTAGTGCTTTAGTAGTAGTTTTGTAGTTCTTGCATAGTTAATTGGTAAATGAGTATTTTAAATCCAGGAAAAAAATTTAACAAGGAATAAAAGTGGCAAAACCAAAATCCTACTTTCGTGGTTCCGCCTCCACGTGCTGCTTGGGAGAAATTTTTTAGTGTGCCAAGAGTACGGGCCATGTAATAATACAATTGGTTTAAAACAAAGGAAAAAATTCCAACTAATTGTATTATTACACTGTTAGACTAAGTCGTGATTCTATTGCAGTCAAACACCACTTGAAGTGTTTAAGTTAATTTGTAATTCTTATCTCATAAGAAGTTGGGTGAGTCTAGGACTTGTTTCAAACGTTTGTTGTATGGTCATAGATTCTGTAACTATCTTTGCGTTTTGAATTTCAAATACTCCATGTAAATAGGGTTTATCAAACCCTGGATGTAATCTTCAACTTATTATAAATACATGCAACCGACTGTTGAATGAGTATGCAATTGAAGTGAAACACCCAGTTCCTTAAGTTTTAATGTGCATTGGGCCATGTTCCCGGCACACTGAAAAATCTCTTTCGCCCTGTCCGGCAGGTTGAGGTGGATGCGGTTTCTGATTTTCCTATCCATCATAGAACTCTACAACTCTTTTTTTATTTATATTTATTGCAGTGCCTAATTTTAGGGTTTAGGGAAGACATATTCCTACATATAATAGGAGTTCCAATTGCATTGCATTTTTTTTCACTAGGATTCTTCCATAGTAGAGGAATTAACTCTGGAAAACAACTTCTGAATCCAAAAGGAAAGTACATACCTAAAAAGAAAGGGAATTAAAAGAGATTGGGACGTTGATTGCTTAGCAAGCAATTGACCTTGTGGGTATAAAAGTGTACTATTCAAGCTTTTAGAGACAATATTAATTCTCTGTTAAAATTGCAGATACATATTGTTGTCTCTCTTGTTCTCTAAATTCATTGATTGATCGCTACATGTTATATATGTCTATGATGACTACGAAACGAAAAGTCGCAGACTGCGATACAAGCGCAGACATTATCAAAAAGATCAAACGGCACGATGAAGGTACGTCCATGAAGATTACTAAGAAAAGAAAAACTGAAGATTTTGATACCAGCGCAAATTTAATAAAAAAGATCAAAAGTCATGATCAAGATCAAGGTGATACTCAAAGCCAAGAGTGTGATGCCCTGGCCGTGGACAGGTACGGACCTGAATTACCTGAGTCTGCTATCTACCATATTCTCCTACTCCTCCCCACCAAACTCGCTGTTCGGGCCAGCATTCTTTCCAAGCAATGGAGACGCGTGTGGTCTTTCTCCTCCCTCCCGGTCTTAAATTTCGACGAGGATCTGCAGCTGTTCGAATGTGAGTACACACCCGACAGGAAAAAGTTCCTCCAGTTCCTTCGCAGATGTTTGAAGTGCCGTGAGAATGATGAGCAAGACCTGAACATATTCAGGCTTCGAATGAGGTACTCTGGAGGTGCCGATATCATAAATAAGTGGTTGAATTTTGCGGCTGAGAAAAACGTTAAAGAGTTAGAAATCATTCTCAAAAGAAAACGTGGTGACAGAAGCATATCCTACTGCTTACCGTGGGCTATCCTCAATGCACAATTTTTAACCACTCTAAGTTTGGAGAAAGTGAAAATAAAATACAACATTGGTTCTATAAACCTTCCTTCCTTGAAAACTATGACCCTCAAAAATATGGATTTGGGTTACAACACTAACAGGGGATTTGTCCAGTTATTTTCCGGGTGCTCTTCTCTCGAGTCTCTGTCATTAATTTTATGTCCGTTATTTCTTTGCAAAGTTTCAAGCTCAAGCCTCAAATCCTTGCAAGTTATTTGGTGTTCGAAAGTGGTGAGATTCAAAGTTGAAGCTACAAATCTCGAATCATTTAGATTTTGTAGCGGTGATTCAAGTGCTGTGCACATGGATGGACACCTCGACATTGCCTCTTGTCGATCGCTTAGAAATCTGGAGTTCTTTGATACAATTTTTTCAGGTGTATGGTTTGAAGATGACCTAAGTCCAAGGTTTCCCCTTCTTGAGAGTTTGACGTTATATAAATGCAGCAACTGGTCATCGGATACAATTCAAGTCAACAATCCGCTTCTGAAACGCCTTGCATTTTGTGGGCGCAATGCCTGTGCTACAAACGTCAAAATTAATACTCCAAATCTAGCTTTTTTTGCGTTCAGTACTGGATATTTGCCTCCTGATCAATTAAGTGCCTTTGTGTCCAAATTTTCTCTGACAGCTCCCAACTTATTGGAGGCTAACATCAACTTCAACTTCATAGAGAGAGATTTTTCTCCTCTTAGAAAGTTTCTTGAAAGGTGTTTCCCTCGTTTCAGCACAAACAGAACGTTAGATTGCTCAAGGAAAATGTGCCTGTCCCTTAACGAAGCTGAGGTATTTACGCATGCATGTTCGATTATGATTTAAGTGTTATTCCAAATTCTGCATAGTGCATATACATATTCATCCTCTATGTTACTGATTGGTTTCTATTTTTCTGTTGAATGTTTCAGGCTCTTATTTTTCCAGATGAAACGAGAAAGACATGTCTTCCGCCATTACCAATTCTCGACCATCTTGAGGTAGCAGTAGATTCTTCAACGGTGGTGAGCGATGATGTCTTGAGGGATTCCTTGCAATGGATGGCACCAAATCTACAGAGTCTATACGTCAATGAAACAAAAATCTTTTCTTCGCTATAATTAAAGAAGCCCACATCAAACCAGAGCTTCAGGCGGTCCCAACCATAAGCGCGAAGAGGCTCACAAATCATTGCGTGTTTGTTATCTTTGATGTTAGAAGACAGTCATGTTATGTAACAAGTTTTTCTCTTCATTGTGAAAAATTCAAGGACTCATGGATTTTTAACGCACAAACCGAAACTCTAATTGAGCTAAATTTTAGTAACTTTTTTTAGATGTACTCGAAACACAGTGAAGCACACAGACATGCAATAATATAAATAAACGACATGTTGATATGCTCCACTTCACCTAAATCAGGGAACAAAGCTATACCTAACTTGCTGTTTAATGCCAAATACTTGTATTGATGTTGTTTGATCCCCAAAACTCAAACCAACATGGGGTCCTACAACCGTTCAAACTTCCAACGGTTGCTTTCTTTCACCAAGCTCTTAACCTCCCACGTCAGCCAAGGCCGTCATGACAAAGCCCTTTCCCTCTTCCACCACATGCAGACCTCGCTGGCTCTATCTCTCGACCCCCATGTTTTCTCTCTTGTTCTCAAGTCCTGCTCCGCCGTCCATTGCCCGCAACTCGGCGTCTCCGTCCATGCCCATGTCACCAAATCTTCCATCCTATCAAACCCATTTGTGGCTTCCGCTCTCGTCGACATGTATGGCAAGTGCGTGTCATTGCCGACCGCACGCAACCTGTTTGATGAAATTCCTCACAGGAACGTTGTTGTGTGGAATGCTATGGTATCGCTTTATACGCGTAACGGTAATGTGTTTGATGCTTTGAGATTGTTTGAGGCAATGGATGTTGAACCTGATGTGTCAACTTTTAATACCATTATATCTGGGATGTCGGGATTGGATGATGGGTCGTTTAAGGCTGTCGAGTTCTATAGGAAAATGACAGCGCGTGGATGGAAACCAGATTTAATAACACTGCTTGCTTTGTTACGTGCTTTTGTTGGTGTAGCGGCTTTAAGGTTTATTAAGGAAATTCATGGCTATGATGTGAGAAATGAGATTGACTCGCATTCCCAATTGAGTAGTGGCCTAGTTGAGGCCTACGGGCGTTGTGGTTGTCTCGCAAATGCGCGTAATCTGTTCCGCTATATGAAGAAAAAGGATGTGGTTGCATGGAGTAGTCTGATATCTGCGTATGCACTTCATGGGGAGGCAAGAGCTGCGTTGGAAATTTTCCAAGAGATGGAATTGGCGAAAGTAGAGCCTGATGAGATTACTTTTCTTGCAGTACTGAAGGCTTGCAGCCATGCTGAAGGATTAGCAGATGAAGCACTGCATTATTTTGGTCGGATGTGTGAGGATTATGGTGTGCAAGTAAATAGTGATCACTATTCTTGTTTAGTAGATGTTCTGAGCAGAGCAGGGAGGTTGCATGAGGCATATGAGGTCATAAGGAAAATGCCAGTGAAGGTTACCGTTAAAGCTTGGGGTGCTCTTCTTTCAGCATGTAGAACTTACGGAGAATTGGAGCTTGCTGAGATTGCAGGGAAAGCTCTGTCCGAAATTGAGCCTGATAATCCTGCCAATTATTTACTATTGGCACGAATATATTCTGGCTTAGGAAGGCACGAGGAAGCACAACGAATGAGAAGGGAAATGAAAGAGAAGGGAGTGAAGGCATCATCTGGAACTAGTTGGGTGGTTTATCAAGACTAATATCGGGTGTTGGAAAGTTATCAGGTTTTGCCTACAGCGAACAGCTATCTTTTGGCCTGTTAAATATCAGGCCAAAAAATTTAGTTGAAAGCTAGAAGGGGTTCAGTTCTGAAGGCATGATAATGCAAAACAATGCAGCAGATTGTAACGTTGAGCAGTGGAGAATAATGCAGTACTTTGTGACTCGAATCTTCGACATTGAGAGTGGAGAAGCAGCATTTTGAGAGAGATCGGATGATGAGGAAGGAATTTATTTCGAACCAGTGGCAAGCTTCAAGATGTCTTCAGAGATGCCTTGCTTAAAAACATGCCCAAAAACACATGTACAATATTCTCATTCCCTCTTAATTTTCTGTTTTGACTGAATTTTGAAGACGGTGAAGAGTGAAATGCATTGAGTTGCTTTAGGTACCAGGATGTATATGTAAAAATATATTACTGAGTTATTTTGGACTCCATGGATGAAGCACGCATGCAGTTACAACGATCTGGAGGAAGTGCTTTTGTCAAGAATTGTTCATCATTTTTTCACTACTGAATTTGTGAATAACTCAACTCAACATTGTGTCTGAGCTGCCTAGTTGAATCAAGGGCTTTCATTTCGTCTTAGAATTGTTTTCCCCAATGTGTTCGTACATATCAGGTATCATCCCTAACAACATAAGAGCCCTTGACTCATGTATTGGGATTTAAAACAACTGTGTTGCAAATTCTAATTTAGGGAAACAAAAATTTGCACAAGAGTTAATCTTCAGCATCACATAGTTAATCGTGCAGTGATCGTCCAATAAAAAGCTGGCACAGCCTGGATGAACCAAAACAAGGAGACATTATTGCGTTCATCAGATATACCACATGGCAATGCCACTAGCATTTCTAGCCTATGATTCAACACATGTAATTCAATGAGGTTGAATACTTTTTTTTAACATTATGTGATTTAACACGTGCATTTCTAGCCTATGATTTAATGCATGAAAATTTTCTTCTAAGATATAATTTTCGAATAATTTTTTTTACTTTATGCATGCGATGTACCTTGTCTATATTTTTTGTGTTTAATTTATTCAATCTAAAGGCTATAAATATGATTAAAAAAAAAAAAAAAAAAGAAGAGGAGAGCGGAAATTACTTCCATTTTTTCTCGGTGTTAGTGGGCCGGACCTAATGGTGTGCCATGGGTCAATTGTGAAGTTTTTTTGGGGTTATAATACAAAAAGTCCAAAGAAGAAAAGTCCAAACCTTCAAAACCCAAAACACCTAATTCTGCAGCTCCACCGCTGCTACCGATAATGGCAGCAAAACCTCTCTAATCCCAAGCCATGTCGACTTCCATTCCCACCATCTCCGCTCCAACCCCCTCCATTCTCAGACTCAAAGTCGCTTCTTTTTCTCCCCCCAGAATCCGACCTCATATCCAAACAATCTCTTTTCGCAATTCACTCAAATTCCAATGTTTGAACCCATACAAGCTCAGAAATTTCCTGGGTTTTCCGGGAATACAAATGGGTTTTTGTTTGATAGAAAGCTGAGGGTTTGTGCGAGTGCGAAAAATGAGGGTGTTGATGCAGCTGAGGACGAGAGTAAAGGGGAGAGTACTATGCCAGAGCGGTTCAGGTACTTGACCAAGGAAGCTCCTGACCCTCCTGTTAGGTGGCCTTGGTTTGTTGGTAAACTGTTCTCCTCTCTTTCTTCTTCTTTTTACTATCTGTTTGGTTGCTGAGAAAATGTTGGTAATGAAGGAGAGAAAACAGAGAAAGTTTGAGTGTTTGGGATTGTTGTCAATTACAATGCCCTTTGAGCGCGGAGAATATCGTTTTGATTAAGGAACCTGCTTTCATGTATAAATACAGCTTGTTTGGTTAATTTCTTGTTAGAAATTATATTGAAATTTTTCACCATGACTTTCCTCAAATTTAGAAACGTTTGATGCATATGCGAAGAACATTATATGAATTTGTCACCAGCATCTGGAAAATGAGCTATCAGGTTATAATAAGTGTAGGCATTACAATGTGTCTGAAAAGAAGGGTTCTTCGGCTAATTTGAGTATTCTCATAGTTTTAATTTCCGTCTGATTGGGCATATCATTAGGGACTAAATCTTGACACGATGTAACACCATTAAGTTTATTGATTTATCTTGAATAGTGCCGTTTCTTATGAGTTGGTGGGAGATGATTTTGACTAGTGCTCTGATTAATGTTTCATAGTTCTTCATGCTTAACAGTATTCTCTCGCACAAATGGTTTTTCATTGCGATTGTATGAGTATAGAACGATTTGGTGAATCGGGGATGCTTATGAAATTTAGAAACTAGTTGGGAGAGGTAATGTATTGGTTTTAGACTATTTAGTTCCTGATACATGCACGCATTCGTGGTATTACAAAACGTATTCTCATTATAACTTTTTGAAGCCTCAATGGAAGCTCAAACAAATTGTTTTATTATTTATTTGCTGTTGCACATATTAGTTTTACAACTAAGGCAACTGGATTTTATTAACTTTCTCAAAATACTTCTCTGCGAATACAAATTGCACAATAAAAAGCTTATGCAGCTGACTAAATACTATATTCATTGATCGTGCAGCATTGGTGTTCCTTATCTATGCATGGAGAGCTGTCTTGCTGGAATTAGCTAACTGGAGAAAGGCTGCAGTGGGCGTTGTCCGTTTTGTGGGATACCTCTTGAAACTTATCCTGGCGCTAATCTTCCATTTCATAGGTGATCCCATTACTTCTGTGATCAGATTCATAGAAACAACACTCTATGCCATACGCTCTTTCTACTCTGGCATAGTGGCATACGCTCCAATTCCAGAGTTGACAACAGTGATCATACTGGCATCCATTGTTCTTGCTATCGCAGAAGCTGTTGTTCCAAACACCGTAAACTGTCAACCCTTTCTTCTCACAGCGTCTGGCGTGGTAGGCTATGCAGCAGTGGCAGGTTACATCTCAGAGCCTTTCTTCTGGACGATTCTAGTGGCGTTCTACGGTTACTCACGATTAGTTAAAAAGAGGGATGATGTTACATCCGCATTGCCTGCGGCAGCTGTGATGGCTGCCATAGGAGAACCATGGGTTAGAGTTTTGGTAATCGCATCTTATCTGGCCTTGGCCATTTTTCACCACTCAAAGAAGGTATCAGAGAAAAAGGAGGAAATTGTAGTGACTAATAGGAAGCTTCCAATGCCCTTGCTCGGTGCAGGCTTAGCCATTGGAATTCGCCTTGCTGCTAAGTGGGCCGGGTACCGGCATTTGACATGGATGATAGTATGAACGTTAAGAATACCTTGTTATGCCTGTTGGACTGCAAAGGCAGTGGCATTGTGCCTTCTGTGTCATCTCTCTGTAATTTCGATTGGTGTAGTGATCCTGTTTTGTTCTTCCTATTTTTGACTTACTAGAATTCAATTCAGTGATTCTTCAACTTCAGAAATTTCATGTGGCTAGGCATCCATACAATTCAATCTGAAAATGTTTCCTGCAGAATTCGATTTTTCTGTCTTCTCATCTATAGATATTCGCAAAGGAAAATACTTGGCTCGTTACATGATTTCTCATTGGCAAGTAAGAAGGCGCCAATTTATGATTGTATTCATGTTATGAAGTTTTAGCCGAGTTCCGTTTTGGTACCTATAGTTTCAATTGTCAAAACAAATTAATCCCTTGTAGTTGACCAACTATTACAATTTAAAGACAACAGCAAGTTGTTGATTTCTTCATCATAAGTTGCTCGCAAGTGAAAGACTCATAGTGGGGGAAAATCAGACTTCATTGAAGTGTAAAAATGTCACACGCACGCCTCTCACGTGTTAATCTTGTATAAGTAGCGGAATTAAGCTATTGTCCTTGAATTGCAAATTCGCAAAGGAAAATGCTAGCAACTTTTGCACTAACTTAATGACATATGTGTTTTCTTGTGCAAACAAATGATACATAATATTTGAAAAGTGAAAAAATGCTAATGCAAAAGGTTTCCATCACACTCCATTTGCAAAATGGGTTTTAAAAGGACCAAAACGCAACGACTGAAATTGAGAGGACCGAAGTGGAACTTCGCTAAAACTACAAGAACAAAAATCATAGAGGGGTAAAATGGTAATAAGATGCCTACGAGACCAATGGGTCATGAAACGACGCCGTTAGCACCGTAACAGGCTTGAATAAAAAGCCCTAGGGTTTCTGTAGGGCTTTGGATGCCTATATAAAGAACACCTACCCACCCGCTTCCTCTTCATACTCTCCAGCCTCTATCCAAGCTTTCCCATAATTCCCCCAATTCCCCATCATACGGTCAAAACCCTAATCTCTAATTTCTGCAATTTCCAGTTTTAACCACGCATGATGCACCCCGGGCTTCTCTGAGAGTACTTTCACTGAAGAAGAAAGCCCCAATGCTCGTGCTAAAACGTCGCCGTCAAGTGTTGCAGTTTAGCCTCGCTTTACTCCACGGCTTTTCTGTGTCAAATCGACCGCTACATCTCTCACAAAAACCCTAAATCTTTTCGTCAGCTTTCAGTAGCGGACGATCCGAAGCGCCTCGACACACCTTAAGCCTGTTTTTGAAAAATCTCCGAAAACAGAGCTAGTCATGGAGGCGCAGATCCAACTGCGGTGTCAAACGTGGGGGTTTTTCTCTTCTCATAGTTTTGCCTCTAAAAACGTCCGCTAAATTTTCAGAATTTCGATCTTTTATTTATTTATTCTGATATTGTTTTGTGAACTTTTGGCGATGATTACAAATTATCCGCGCTTCTGAGGGCAATCGATGAAGTAGAATGTGATAATCAATGGTTGAATTTCTTGATATGAGCCATTCAAGTTTTTCATTTGCTGATTTGGGTTGGTGATATTTTTAGGTTTCGTTGATTAATGTTGGCGGTGATGACTAAATTTTACAGCTTTATGCCAGTTCTGCTTCAGAAAATTCGTGATTGAGAGAGCTGTTTCATACTCTGAGCCTTCTGTTTCTTAATTTGATTTTATTTTTCTGTATTATTTTGGATTTCTGTGTTCTTTGTGTTGCCGATGACGATTCAATCCGCTTGTTCGAGGTGCAGTGGAATTGAGACCCTGTTTTCAGGGAGAACCCCTCAGTGAAACTGCATTCATATGAATTTAATGGATTTAACTGAGGTTTTAATCTTACTTACCCTCCTAGTAAAATGTTTTTGTGTTACTTGTTTGGTTTGTTGTCTGTCAAAGATTAGATTAGTTGTTTGGTATGTTATTAATTGAATGTGATCGGTGTGTTAAATTTTGGTGATATCTTCTTGTCATTTGGCCTGTGATGATTCAATCCGCTTTTTTGAGGTGTAGTGGAGCTGAGACCTTGTTTACAAGGAGAACCCCTCGGCGAAGCTACATTGCATATGACATTAATGGATTTAACTGAGGTTTAAGTCTTAATTACTGCATCAAAAACCATTGTTTTTGTGTTAATTGCTTGTTTTGCTGAGCAATGTTTATTATTTTGTTAGGATTAAGTAATGTTTAGGCGCCAATGATGTTACAATCCAACGTGTTTGAGGCGTAGCGGAAGCGAGAACCTGCATTTGTGCAGGTAGAGCCTACTCGTGGAAACTACGATCCCTTGACAGAAACGATGTAGCTGAGGCATTGCAGTCATATGGTTTTGTTGTGTATCGTGTTGAAATGTTGGTTTTGAGTTTCAACTATACCCTTATCCTTTTTCGATCAGGTTTAGGGTCTGAAATAACTCATAAATTAGAGTGTTGTCATCAGCTTCATCTTGTGTTACTGGTCAAGACTGGAGTTAAACAACAACACTACATCTAATCGCACTAATTTTGTTTCTTTTATTTTGTGATTCGTGTTAAATTTCATCTAAATTTCGGTTGGCATCGACTCTGGTGATGAATTGATACGTATGCAGTATGCTCAATAGCTTCGGCTGGATGGTTCTATTAATTGAATTGGGGCTAAGTAATTTATACAGTGATAATAATTTCTAAAACCTACGGGCCTCAGCCTGTTTCCATTAGAGCAACTCCACCTTTGAAAAAAAATGCATCAGCAACTAGTCTATTTAGTTCACTTTAAAGAACATTGATAGATTTTAATGAACAGTAATAGATTAAATGCATCTTTATTTCTAAAACTAAATACCCTGTTAATTTATTAAAATATTATTAATTTTTATTATAAAATAATAAAATTTAATAATTTAATTAATAATTTCTGACTTTATAGTTTTGAACTCCTAAAAATGCTCCTCCAATGAAGCAGACCAGAGCATGCCAACCCACCAACCATGCCGTCAATCCCCACTCTTTCTACGACGAAACGACCCTTCTCCTCCCTTACCACCACCACCTTCATTATCATCACCGCCACCATCCTCTTCACCATTATGCCACCACCAGCTCATGCCTTTGGTTCCGATTCCACCCTTGCTGTTATCTCTGCCTTCGGATTGGAAATTCTAGCAGGTTGGAAGATCAGTCAGAGGTGGTGGCAAAGACTGCGGCAACCCATCATCTCCTATCGTCGCAGACAAACAGTCGCAGTCGAGCCCAACATCTCCTTCTTCACCATCTTCGGTGGACGGACCTTTTCTGGGATCTGGCGCGAAAAAAGATTTCAGATTATGACGTCATCCTGACGTCATGTAGGCTGGTCTCTAGCTCAGCACATTTTGGGTTGGCCAATGAACTGGAGCAAATTGGCTGGATGCCGGTCTAATGGGCTGGGCTGGAGCAAATTGGCTGGATGCCGGTCTAATGGGCTGGGTTGGAGCTGCGAGCCTAATGGCTCCTGGTGGACTTGCTTTTAGGGAGTACCCTAAGAAAAGCAACCCTTCCTTCCACACAAGAGGATGATTGGTGGAGAAATGGCGTGCGGACATCGTTACCAAATTCATGTGTGGATGGGTTTATGTTGTAAAATCTTTTGATTGGAATTCAGACCAAAAACAGACTTGTAAATGTAAATGAATGCTATTGTAAGCTTTGTGGTAAATGGGAATTTGAAAATTAGCAACGTATCTTTGTTTTTGTATCAATTTTTGTTATTAAAACTTGAGTAAATTACATTTTCATACTTCAGGTTTGATTCCTATTTCAATTTCTTACAACATCTTCAAAACATTTCACTTTCATATCTTAAGTACTATTTTATTTCAAAATAATAGATCTGTTAACCATCCATGGATTCGTTAAGTGTTGACGTAGTTGCCACATATATGCCACGTGGCTGCCATTTATGTGCCACGTGGCAAAATTTTTTATTTTTTTATTTTTTTACAAAACTTGAATTTTCTCAAAAAAAAAAAAAAACGGTAAATTACATTTTCATACCTCAAGTTTTGGGTCTATTTCAATTCCTTACAACATCTTCAAAACGTTTCACTTTCATACCTTAAGTACTATTTTATTTCAAAATAATACATCTGTTACATTTTCTATCCATCAATCTATTAAGTGCTGACGTAGCTGCCACATATATGCCACGTGGCTGCCAAATGTGTGCCACGTGGCAAAAAAATTAAAATTTTTTTTTTAAACTTGAATTTTCTCAACAAAAAAAAAAAAAACCATTATCCCTTCCCCCCAACCCACACCCCCAAAGAACCCACAAACCTGAAGAAGAAGAAGAGGGAGGGAAAAAAAAACCAAACCCATTTCCCCACCTGTAACAACAAGAAGAGGAAGAGGAAGAGGGAAAAAAAAAACTGCAACCCAGTTTATCCCCCAACACTCCACCACGGCGCCCCCCCCCCCCACCCCCACAGGCGCGCGCACGCCCGTGACCCAGCGACCAACCTCCCCTCCCCCCCCCCCCCCCCACCCCCACTAACACCCCCCGAGACCCCGCGACCCACCTCCCTTGCACAAAGACCTGAATCACACCTAATCTTGGGTGGTTTGTGGTAGATTCATCTTAGGGAGTTTGAGATGATTTTTGGATTGGTTTTGTGGTAGATCCACCTAATCTCGAGTGGGATTTTTGAGGGTGGATGATGGGGGATGGGAGAGAGGGGTGGCTCGGGTGGGATTTTGGGGTGGGTGATGATGAATGGGAGAAGGGGGTGGGTCGGGGATGGGTTTTTTTAATTATTTTATTTTTATATTTTTAAATTAAGGTTTTAAAAAAATTTTAAATTTTTTTGTTGTTTTTTGCCACGTGGCAGCCACGTCAGCACTTAACGGATCTATGGATGGAAAATGTAACATATGTATTATTTTGAAATAAAATAGTACTTAAGGTATGAAAGTAAAATGTTTTGAAGATGTTTTAAAGAATTGAAATAGGCTTCAAACCTGAGGTATGAAAATGTAATTTACCTTTTTATTTTTTTTATTTTGAGAAAATCCAGGTTTAAAAAAAAATTAAAATTTTTTTTTTGTCACGTGGCACACATTTGGCAATCACGTGGCATATATGTGGCAGCCACGTCAGCATTTAACGGATCCATAGATGGAAAATTTAACAGATGTATTATTTTGAAATAAAATAATACTTAAGGTATGAAAGTGAAATATTTTGAAGATGTTGTAAGGAATTGAAATAGACCCCCAAATCTGAGGTATGAAAATGTAATTTACCCTTAAAACTTGTATTGCTTGAAAAAGGTTATGATAATTAACAGGTTATGATAATTAACAGGGAATCTTAATGAAACACTTATGGTACTGTTCACTTTTAACGTTAAGAGCATTTTGACATTGTACTTCTTGGGTTTTGGGATATGAATTTGAACAGATTCCAAACTGGAGGCATTGTCACGAAAAGTCACTCCTCGTATCTGAGATGAAATTGAACACAACCGTAATACTACTAGAAGCTTTGACAGAGGAAGAACAATGTTCAACCCCTTTACATGCATTGAATTTTCTAAAAAGTACAAAGTCTAATATGTATTTTCTAAAATGTAAAGTCTAATATGCCAGCTAAGGAACTCTATGTGATGGGTTGAATAGTCGACTCAAGGGCATATATAGGTTGAGTTCCAGTAACATGCATACGTTAAATCTTTGCCTGCCTGCTGAATTCTTTGTGCAGCCATGAATACCAAACCAAACTCAAAGTTCGTGTTCTCCGTTATTTTATTATGTGCATTTCTCGAGTCCCATGTTTCCATTGCAGCGGACACCATCAAGGAAAACCACTCTCTCTCGGGCGATCAAACCATTGTCTCTGCAGGTGGGATGTTTGAGCTAGGTTTCTTCAAACCAGGTCAGCTTTCAAACTACTATATAGGCATATGGTACTCCAAGCAAGTGGTATCTGAGAGTACCGTTGTTTGGGTAGCAAATAGGGAAATACCAGTATCTGATAGATTTTCTTCGGTGTTGAGCATCTTAGATGGTAATTTAGTTCTCTTTAACGAGGCCAAAACCCTGGTTTGGTCAACAGATTTAAACTCCGCCACCAGTTCTGGTTCGGTACAAGCAGTTCTTTTGGATAGCGGAAACCTTGTCTTGAGAGCCGGCTCTAGTAATAATACATCAGAGCCTTTATGGCAAAGCTTTGATCATCCAACCCATACTTGGCTACCAGGAGGTAGACTCGGATTCAACAAAATTACCGATCATGCCCAACTTCTCACTTCATGGAAGAATTTGGAGGATCCTGCGCCAGGTCTTTACTCTCTTAAGCTATCCCTGGATGAAAGCAATTCATATATCTTACAGTGGAATAGGTCTAAACAGTATTGGACCAGCGGATCATGGGATGAAAGTTCACATATTTTCAACCTAGTTCCTGAAATGAGGCTAAATTATATCTTCAATTATAGTTATGTTACGAATGAGAACGAAAGTTATTTCACCTATTCTCTTTATGATCCGAGAAGGGTATCTCGATGCTCCATATCTGCCTTGGGGCAGATTCAGCAACTAACATGGTTGGATTCTTCCAAGCAGTGGAATTTGTTTTGGGCTAAACCAAGACAACAGTGCGATGTTTATGCTGTTTGTGGCGGGTCTTTCTCCAGTTGCAATCCCACATCCTCAGGCAGCTGCAAATGTTTGAAGGGCTTTAAGCCAAACCGGCAGAGGGATTGGGACTTGCAGATTTATTCTGGTGGGTGTTCAAGAAAAACCAGTGTACAGTGTGGGAATGCTACTAGTACAAATGGGACAGGAGACGGGTTTCTAGAAATACATAGGCAATTATTACCTGAAAATAAACAACAATATGGATATGCTCTTAGTATCAAAAGTTGTAGATCAATCTGCCTGAATGAATGTCATTGCACTGCTTATGCTTATGACAGCATCGATGGATGTTCCATATGGCATGGAGATATCTTGAATCTGCGTGAACCTGAAGAAAATGACGGCTATGGAAGAACTATATACATCAGAGCTGCAGCTTCCGACATTAAGAAAAAACGTAATAAGAGAATGATTATTCATGTCTTACTTGGAGCCGTTAATATTAATGTTGTCCCAATGATCTTTTTTCTTTTCTTTGCAGGTTTAATTAAGCCGTCCCTTGTGATTGCAATTGTCTCAATATTCACAGGTTTGCCTCTTGTCATTTTTGGCTATTACTTATGGAAGAAAACATTGGGAAGGAAAAGAGAGCATAGGAATAGATATGGTGTGACTATAAATAAACTTGCTGCTGGAGGTGAAAGGAACGATGCAGAACTGCCGATCTTTGGTTTAAGAGCTATAATAGCTGCTACAAACAACTTCGCTGAAGCTAACAAACTCGGAGAAGGAGGATTTGGCCCTGTCTACAAGGTGACACTTCCACTGTATACTCTAAATACTAAATAAAACATTTTTCTCCTTGTGCACACTTCTTGTTTATTTATGACCTTTGGATTGAATAATTCCAATGAGATGAATCACGGGACAAAGTACACATGGGTGTGCAGAAGGACAAAGAAGAGTGTTCGAAAATAATTTCTCCTTTCAGAAACATGACCGTTCCTTTGTACTTCTCTAACAATTTTTTTCTCTTGTGCGATTTTCTTCCTATATGCAGGGAATTTTGGCTGAAAATCAAGAAGTAGCCATAAAAAGGTTATCAAAAAAGTCAGGTCAAGGACAACAGGAGTTCATGAATGAGTTAAAACTTATTGCCAAGCTCCAACATACCAATCTCGTTAGGCTCTTGGGTTGCTGTATTGAAGACGAGGAAATGATATTGATTTACGAGTACATGCCCAATCGGAGCTTAGACAAACTTTTGTTTGGTAAATACACGTTAATGACTTATTACGAGTACTGCAAGATGCACATTATGCACCGTGTCCAATATTTTATCTAAAATGAAAAGAAGAACACTTGCTCATCTTTCTTCGTGGTTTGTCCTATCAGATGCATCTGAAAAAACAGAATTAGATTGGGGAGGACGTTTTCGAATTATAGAAGGCATTGCTCAAGGAGTACTTTATATCCACAAGTACTCCAGATTGAAAATCATCCACAGGGACCTAAAAGCAAGTAACATACTGTTGGATGGAGCCTTGAACCCCAAAATTTCAGACTTTGGAATGGCAAGGATTTTCGGGATAAATCAAATCGAAGCAAATACAAATAGGGTTGTTGGCACATAGTAAGTCTACATATATTTGGCACATGTTTTCATTCAAGTAATGTTCTATTGCTTACTTCTCTACATACTGTCAACTCATGCGCAGCGGCTACATGTCACCGGAGTATGCGAGATATGGTCATTTCTCTGAGAAATTAGATGTATTCAGCTTTGGAGTGTTGTTGTTGGAGATTGTAAGCGGAAAGAAGAATGCTGCTTTTTATCGTTTTGAACATTCACCAACTCTTGCTGGATGGGTAAGTACTGAAAAACTATTCCAACTCATGATCATTTTGTTTTTAAGCCTTTCAAATTCACAAATGACCGTAAGTTCAACATTTTAATTAGGCATGGGAGTTGTGGAAAGACGGAAGAGGAATGGAGGTGATTGATGAATCAGTAAGGGAAACATGCCGGCTTGATGAAGCTTTGAAGTGTATCCATATAGGGTTTTTGTGCGTTCAAGAAGCTCCAGCTGATCGACCAACAATGTCTTCGGTAATTCTTATGCTACAAGGCACCGACTCTACATCTCTTCCACCTTTCAAAGAACCTGCGTTTTCAACACACAGAAATTCTACTCCTGTTCGTTCTTCTCAAACGCCTACCATATTTTCCCACAACACGGTCACCATAAGTTTGCCAGAAGGTCGATAGGTTTATACAACACTTTGAGGGTTCAATTACACATTACTGGAGCTCTTTGTGCGGTTTATGGTTTTTGCCCATCCAAACTAAACCTATAATAGCAGCAGATTAAATTTATGTTATCTATTTTTCAGCTGCAAATGTGGGTGTAACCATACTTCAAGATATGTTTCCACCGCACCCCTTGGTGCAACCGTATTTATGTTAATTTAAAATGGAATGTTGCTTGTATCAAAAGAATAAAGTGGAGATTTTTTTTACATCTTCCAACTTTCAGAAGACAAAAACTAAAAACAAAATTGGTCTAGAACAAAGGATTTTACATCGGTATATCCATAATTGGCAAGATGGGTTTTCCTATGGTTGGAATAGAAAATTTGACAATCAGCATATAGAATCTACCGAATGCAAGTTTGGCAACTAGAACTACAAGTAAACTATGTCCCCGATTAGTTTTTTTTTATAGATGAGGTTTCGAACTTGATGCCTCATTTAACATTGAAAAACAAAATTTCACTAGAACAATTGATGCGCCTAATCATGTTAAACTCAAGTTCAGCAACTAACATGGTTGGAGCCTTCCAAGCAGTGGAATTTGTTTTGGGCTCGACCAAGACAAGAGTGTGATGTTTATGCTTTTTGTGGGGCTTTCTCCAGTTGTAATCCCACACCCTCGTGCAAATGTTTGAAGGGCTTTAAGCCAAACCGGCAGAGTGATTGGGACTTGCAGATTTATTCTGGTGGGTGTTCAAGAACAACCAGTGTGCAGTGTGCGAATGCCAGGGGAGACGGGTTTCTAGAAATACATAGCCATTCATTGCCTGAAAATATGAAATATGAATTTGCAGTTAGTATCGAAAGTTGTAGATCAATCTACTTAAATGACTGCCGTTGCACTGCTTTTGCTTATGCCAGTAGCTATGGATGTTCAGTATGGCATGCAGATGTCTTGGATCTGAAAGAACGTGATAACAATGGCGGTGTTATATACATGCTAATAACTTATTGATTCTATGTTTCTGCAAATTGTTTTCCTTGTGTTTAAATGCCATGTATTGCAAGATCAAATGCACTGTGTCCAACTTTTGATCTAAAATGAAATGAAAAACATGCTAATAACTTATTGATTCTATGTTTCTGCAAATTGTTTTCCTTGTGTTTAAATGCCATGTATTGCAAGATCAAATGCACTGTGTCCAACTTTTGATCTAAAATGAAATGAAAAACATTTTCTCATCTTTCTTCATGCTTTGTCCAATCAGATGCATCTGAAAAAAGAGAATTAGATTGGGGAAGACGTTTTCAAATTATAGAAGGCATTGCTCAAGGAGTACTCTATATCCACAAGTACTCCAGACTGAAAATCATCCACAGGGACTTAAAAGCAAGTAACATACTGCTCGATGGAGTGTTGAACCCCAAAATTTCAGACTTTGGAATGGCAAGAATTTTTGGGATAAATGAGACTGAAGCAAATACAAATAAGGTCGTTGGCACGTAGTAAGTCTACATATATTTGCACATGCTTTCATTCAAGTAATGTTCTATTGCTTACTTCTCTACCACCTGTCAATTCATGCACAACGGCTACATATCACCCGAGTATGCGAGATATGGTCATTTCTCTGAGAAATTGGATGTATTCAGCTTCGGAGTGTTGTTGTTGGAGATTGTAAGCGGAAAGAAGAATGTTGCTTTTTATTGCTTTGAACATTCACCAACTCTTGCTGGATGGGTAAGTATTGAAAAATTATTCCAACTCAAGATCATTCCATTTTTAAGTCTTCCAAATTCGCAAATGACCATAAATTCAACATTTTAATTAGGCATGGGAATTGTGGAAAGAAGGAAGAGGAATGGAGGTGATTGATGAATCAGTAAGGGAAACGTGTCGGCTCGATGCAGTTTTGAGGTGTATCCATATAGGGTTTTTGTGTGTTCAAGAAACTCCAACTGATCGACCAACAATGTCTTTAGTAATTCGTATGCTGCAAGGCAATGAATCTACATCTCTTCCCCCGTCCAAAGAACCTGCATTTTCAACACACAGAAATTCCAATCCTGTTTGCTCTTCTGAAACGCCTGCTAGTTTTTCCCACAATGCAGTCACCATGAGTTTGCCAGAAGGTCGATAGGCATTGGAAGAGTAATGACAGACATGCAGTTGAGAAAATAGTATACTAGTATTTTAGAAAAAAAACACCCTGACAACTAGCAGTTTTATACAAACACTTCAAGGGTTCAATTACACATTACTGAAGCTGTTTGTGTGTTTTATGGTTTCTTCCTGTCCAAACTAAACCTACAATAGCAGTAGATTAAATTTATGTTAAAGTATTTTTTAGTTGCAAATGCAGGTGTAACCATACTTCAATATTCCCACCGCATTCCTTGGCACAACCATATTTATATTAGTTTAAAATGGAATGTCGCTTGTATCAAAAGAACAAAGAGGAGTTTTTTATTTTTTATTTTTATTTTTTTTAACATCTTCTAGCTTTCAGAAGACAAAAAATAAAAAAAATAAAGGGCCTGGAACGAAGGATTTTACATTACTATATCCATAATGAACATCATGGATTTTCCTAGGGTTGGAATTGAAAAGTTGACAATCATTATATAGACTCTACCGAATGGCAAGTCGATCAAATTTTTATCGAAGAGAATTTGAACTTGATGCCTCTTTCAATATTTAAAGAAAATATCAGTAAACACTTGATGGGTTCGATCATGTTAAACTCAAAAGTTTTTTATACAAGAGGATTGGGCTGGTGATGATGGGCTTTCGGCAAGAAGAGGGGTTGCTGGCCTGCAAGAATAATGATTTGAAACCACCTCCCCGCGAGCGCGCGCCGGGGCAAGTTTTTTTTACAAGAGGATTGGGCTGGTGATGATGGGCTTTCGGCGAGAAGAGGGGTTGCTGGCCTGCAAGAACAATGATTTGAACCCCCCCGGGGGGTCCCTCTTCATACTCTCCAGCCTCCATCCAAGCTTTCCCAGAATTCCCCCTATTCCCCTTCATAGAGTCAAAACCCTAATCTCTAATTTCTGCAATTCCGGTTTTAACCACGCACGATGCACCCCGGGCTTCTCTGAGAGTACTTTCACTGAAGAAGAAAGCCCCAATGCTCGTGCTATAACGTCGCCGTCAAGTGTTGCAGTTTAGCCTCGCTTTACTCCACGGCTTTTCTGTGTCAAATCGACCACTACATCTCTCGCAACAACCCTAAATGTTTTCGTCAATTTTCAGTAGCGTACGATCCGATGCGCCTCGACACACCTTAAGCCTGGTTTTGAAAAATATCCGAAAACAGAGCTAGTCACGGAGGCGCAGATCCTATTGCGGTGTCAAACGTGGGGGTTTTTCTCTTCTCATAGCTTTGCCTCTAAAAACGTCCGCTAAATTTTCAGAATTTCGATATTTTTATGTATTTTGGTATTGTTTTGTGAAATTTCGGCGATGATTACAAATTATCAGCGCTTCTGAGAGCAATCGATGAAGTAGAATGTGATAATCAATGGTTGAATTTCTTGATATGTGCCATTCAAGTTTTTGATTTGCTGATTTGGGGTGGTGATATTTTTGGGTTTTGTTGATTAATGTTGGCGGTGATGACTAAATTTTACAGCTTTATGCCAGTTCTGCTTCAGAAAATTCGTGATTGAGAGAGCTGTTTCATACTCTGAGCAATGTGTTTATTAATTGATTTTGTTTTTCTTTAGTGTTTTGGATTTCTGTGTTCTTGGAGGTGCCGATGACGATTCAATCCGCTTGTTCGAGGTGCAGTGGAATTGAGACCCTGTTTACAGGGAGAACCACTCAGTGAAACTGCATTCATATGAATTTAATGGATTTAACAGAGGTCTTAATCTTAATTACCGTCCTAGTCAAATGTTTTTGTGTCAATTGTTTGGTTTGTTGTCTGTGTAAGATTAGTAGTTGTTTGTTATGTTGTTAGTTGACCGTGATTGTTGTGGCCTGTGATCATTCAATCCGCCTTTGTTAGGTGTAGTGGAGCTGAGACCTTGTTTACAAGGAGAACCCCTCGGCGAAGCTACATTGCATGTGAAATTAATGGATTTAACTGGGGTTCTAAATCTTAATTACTGCATCAAAGTCCGTTGTTTTTGTGCTAATTGCTTGTTTTGTTGATTAGGGTTTATTGTTTTGTTAGGATTAAGGAATGTTTAGGTGTCAATGATGTTACAATCCAACGTGTTTGAGGTGTAGCGGAAGTGAGAACCTGCTTTTGTGCAGGTCGAACCTACTCGTGGAAACTACGATCCCTTGACAGAAACGATGTAGCTGAGGCATTGCAGTCATATGTTTTTGTTGTGTATGGTGTTTAAATGTTTGTTTTGAGTTTCAACTATACCCTTGTCCTTTTTCGATTGGGTAAAGTGTTGTCATCAGCTTCATCTTGTGTTACTGGTCAAGACTGGAGTTAAACAACAACACTACATCTAAGCAAACTAATTTTGTTTCTTTTATTTTTTTGATTCATTTTTAATTGTCATTTTAACCATAATGGTTCTTGAAATTTGTTTAACTTCTTATTTTAGTTTCTGAGATTTGAAATCAATAGAAGTGGTTTTAATTTTAGATCGGATCAAAATGATAAAATTACCTTTTAATATAATAAATAATAGGCTGAAATGATTTGATAAAAAATTGTGGGTATTTTGTTATTTTATTCTTATTTTATGGAGATTTTTATAGAATTATTAAAATGATTGTTTGTGAACAAACTTAATGATTAATTTTATTAATTTCAAATCTCAATGACCAATTTTATTAATTTCAAATCTCAGATAGTACAATTTTTTTATTTGAATTAGACCAAAAACAGACTTGTTGTAAATGAATGTTGAGGGAGAGTGATGTGGTGAGGTCGTTGTTGCTGTTGTGCGTTTGTATGTGTGTGTTGCTCGGGAATGGAGAGGGAGAGGATGCAGAGAAGAGAGGTGAGGTAGAGTGTTTCCAGGGGAGAGACAAGGAGGAGGAGAGGGGAAAAGAGAGTTCTAGAGAAAGAGAGATCATGGCAAATGGGGAGAAATCTACCACGTGTTGCCATCCTAATGGTCTATGATAGAGAAATATCTCCAATTGTAAAATTACCAAAATACCCTTATTATTTCGAGTCCCGTAAAATCTTCGTTTAGCTTTAAATTCACTTACGCTTGCACCTACGCATTGTAACGACGAGTATTACGAGACTACTCTAAGGGAATGAATCTTACGTGATATGATAATGTAGTCAACAAAAGTCAATGTTTTTGCTTTGGAGGGTATTTTTGTAAATTTGTGCATTAAAATTATAAAAACAGTATTATTTGAAGACGGCTCGTTACAGTATGGATGGGTTCAGATTATACAATCTTTTGATTGGAATCAGACCAAAAACAGACTTGTACTTGTAAATAAATGTTGTTGTAAACTGTGGTAATGGGAGTTTGAAAACTTTCAACATATCTTTCTTTGTTTTTGTTAGTTGTGGATTGGAAAAGATTTTATTATAATTAACAACATTTAAGCTCAAAACCTCGTAAACGGAAGCTCCATCTCTTCCCATAATTTGTAGTGAGCATTAGTGCTTAGCTTGGTACATTAGGTTGCAGGCGAAGCGATCTAACTTGAACGTGTCCTAATCCTTAACTCGAAGCTCCATCTGTTTACACTATCTATATTGTCGAGTATTGGTAAATTAGAACGGAACTGTAATACTGCCAGAAGTTTTGACAGAGGAAGAACAATGTTCAAACCCATTCCATATATTGAATTTTCTAAAGAAAGTTGAGGTCCCTCACGTGTGGCGACTTTTCGAGCCTAACAAGTGGACGACACAATAAGGTGACGTGGAGCACATGTGGTCGTTTGAGTTCACACATGAGACAACCTGCTTTGTTACCATGAAGAAAGTTGGGGTTCCACCATAAAATCAAATGACAATATGGAAAGTAGCCCAAGATCGTATAAGCCCATAGCAAGACATGTCCCTCACCAAAGTGGGACAAACTTTTCCTCACATCATCAAATCTCAACACGTTCCCGCAAGTATGACCAATTTTCAAGTCTACACGTGGACAACAACTGGGTGACGCTTGAGCACGTGTGGCTCATGGACTTTCACACGAGAGGCAACATGCTCTGATCTCATGAAGAAAGTTGAGGTTCCACTATAAAACCCAACCTCTTATAAGCTTATACAAGGTCCCTCCTTTCATCAATGTAAGATTCATTCTTAACATTTTCTACAAATACTTTGTTTATAGAAAATACGAACAATGTTCTAGCCCTTTCCATACATTGAATTTTCTACCAAGACTTTGTTCAAATGTGAAGGGTTGAATAGTTGACTTAGTTGACTTGCAATGATCACCACAAAAAAGGCATTTAGGTTAAGTTCCAGTAACAAGCATACGGTAAATCTTTGTTTGCCTGCTGAATTCTTTGTGCAGACATGAATACCAAACCAAACTCAAAGTTCGTGTTCTCCGTTATTTTACTATGTGCTTTTCTCGAGTTCCATGTTTCCCTTGCAGCTGACACCATCAGCAAAAACCAATCTCTCTCGGGCGATCAAACCATTGTCTCTGCAGGTGGGATGTTTGAGCTAGGTTTCTTCAAACCAGGTCAGCTTTCAAACTACTATATAGGCATATGGTACTCCAAGCAAGTGGTATCTGAGAGTACCGTTGTTTGGGTAGCAAATAGGGAAATACCAGTATCTGATAGATTTTCTTCGGTGTTGAGCATCTTAGATGGTAATTTAGTTCTCTTGAACATGTCCAAAATCCCGGTTTGGTCAACAGATTTAAACTCCACCACCAGTTCTGGTTCTGTACAAGCAGTTCTTTTGGATAGCGGAAACCTTGTCTTGATAGCAGGCTCTAGTAATAATACATCAGAGCCCTTATGGCAAAGCTTTGATCATCCAACCCATACTTTGCTACCAGGAGGTAAACTTGGATTCAACAAAATTACCAATCATACCCAAATTCTCACTTCATGGAAGAGTTTGGAGGATCCTGCACCAGGTCTTTACTCTTTTAAGCTAGCTCCGGATGAAAGCAATTCGTATATCTTACTGTGGAATAGGTCTAAACAGTATTGGACCAGCGGACCATGGGATGAAAGTTCACATATTTTCAACCTGGTTCCTGAAATGAAGCAATTTAATAACTTGGCCCTTAATATCTTCAATTATAGTTATGTTACGAATGAGAACGAAAGTTATCTCACATATTCTCCTAACAATCCTAAAATTGCATATCGAGGCTCGATGTCTGCCTCGGGACAGATTCAGCTACTAAGGATGGAGAATTCCAAGCAGTGGGAATTGTTTTGGTCTCAACCAAGACAGTGTGCTGTTTATGCTTCTTGTGGGGCTTTCTCCAGTTGCAAACCCACACCCTTGAACTACTGCAAATGTTTGAAGGGCTTTGTGCCAAACCGGCAGAGTGATTGGGACTTGCAGATTTATTCCGGTGGATGTTCAAGAAGAACCAGTGTGAAGTGTGGGAATGCTACGGGAGACGGGTTTCTAAAAGTAAATAGCGAGTCATTGCCTGATAATAGACAATATGAAGGTGCTCTTAGTATCGAAAGTTGTAGATCAGCCTGCTTAAATGAATGCCAGTGCACTGCTTATGGCAATGACATTGACAATGGATGTTCAATCTGGCATGGAGACCTCTTGAATCTGCATGAATTTGAAGCAAATGGAGGTGATGGAAGAACTTTATACATCAGAGCTGCAGCTTCTGACATCAAGGAAAAACGTAATAATAGTAATAATAGAAAGATTATTCGTGTCGCAATTAGTGATCATTATTTTGGCGCCATTATCTTGATGTTGTCAACAAAATCTTTTTCTTCTCTTTGCAGGTGTAATTAAGCCGTCCCTTTTGATTGCAATAGTCTCAACAATCACTGGTTTAATTGTTGTCGTTTTTGGCTGTTTCTTATGGATGAAAACTTTGGGAAAGAAAAGGTACTGCTACCACTCGATCTCACCTCTCTCTGTCTTTTTCTCTCAGACGTGTTCTAACACTATGACTAAAGCAGAGAGCATAAGAAGAACCATAATGAGAGTAAAAGTAAATTTGATGTTGGAGGTGGAGGTGGAGGTGGAAAGGATGATGCAGAACTACCGATCTTCGGTTTAAGGGCTATAGTAGCTGCTACAAACAACTTTGCTGAAGCTAATAAACTCGGGGAGGGAGGATTTGGCCCTGTTTACAAGGTGACACTTCCACCATGTGCTTTAAATACAAGTACATTTCTCTTCTCCTGAACACTTTTGTTTATTTCTGACCTAAACAAATATCCAAGGAGAATTAAAGGACAAAAATAAATAGGAGTGTGCAGGAGAAAAAGGCTGTGCAAAAATCATTCCCCCTTTCGAAAATATGATTTTTTTTTTTCTTTGAACTTCAAAAAATATTTTCTATTGTGCGCTTTTCTTCCTCTGTACAGGGAATTCTGGCTGAAAATCAAGAAGTAGCCATTAAAAGGTTATCAAAAAAGTCAGGCCAAGGACACCAGGAGTTCATGAATGAGTTAAAACTTATTGCCAAGCTCCAACATACCAATCTCGTTAGGCTCTTGGGTTGCTGTCTTGAAGATGAGGAAATGATATTGATCTACGAGTACATGCCCAATCGGAGCTTAGACAAACTTTTATTTGGTAAATACACGCTAATGACTTATTAATTCTTTGTTTCTGCAAATTATTTTCCTTGTGTGCAAATGTCATGTACTGCAAGATGCATATTATGCACTGTGTCCAACATTTTTTCTAAAATGAAAAGAAAAACACTTGCTCATCTTTCTTCGTGTTTTGTCCAATCAGATGCATCTGAAAAAATTGAATTAAATTGGGGAAGACGTTTTCGAATTATAGAAGGCATTGCTCAAGGAGTACTTTATATCCACAAGTACTCGAGATTGAAAATCATCCACAGGGACCTAAAAGCAAGCAACATACTGTTGGATGGAGCCTTGAATCCCAAAATTTCAGACTTTGGAATGGCAAGGATTTTCGAGATAAATCAGACTGAAGCAAATACAAACAGGGTTGTTGGCACATAGTAAGTCTACGTATATCTGGGACATGTTTTCATTCAAGGAATGTTCTATTGCTTACTTCTTTACATATTGTCAATTCATGCGCAGCGGCTACATGTCACCCGAGTATGCGAGATATGGTCATTTCTCTGAGAAATTAGATGTATTCAGCTTCGGAGTGTTGTTGTTGGAGATTGTAAGCGGAAAGAAGAATGCTGCTTTTTATCGCTTTGAACATTCACCAACTCTTGCTGGATGGGTAAGTACTGGAAAATTATTCTAAAACTCATGGTCATCCTGTCTTTAAGCCTTTCAAATTCGCAAATGACTATAAGTTCAACATTTTAATTAGGCGTGGGAGTTGTGGAAAGATGGAAGAGGAATGGAGGTGATTGATGAATCAGTAAGGGAAACTTGTCGCCTCGATGAAGCTTTAAAGTGTATCCATGTAGGGTTTTTGTGCGTTCAAGAAGCTCCAGCTGATCGACCAACAATGTCTTCAGTAATTCTTATGTTGCAAGGCAATGAATCTACATCTCTTCCGCCTTCCAAAGAACCTGCCTTTTCAACACACAGAAATTCCAATATTGTTCGCTCTTCTGAAATGCCTACCATTTTTTCTCACAACTCACTCACCAAGAGTTTGCTAGAAGGTCGATAGGCGTTGGAAGAGCAGTGACTGACAAGCAATTGAGAAAATAGTATAGTATATTAGAATAAACATCCCGACAACTAGCAGTTTTATACAAACACTTCAGGTTCAATTACACATTACCTAAGTTGTTTGTGTGTCTTATGGTTTTTGCCCATCCAAACTAAACCTATAATAGCAGCAGATTAAATTTATGTTATGTATTTTTCAGCTGCAAATGTGGGTGTAACCATACTTCTGGATATGTTCTCACGCGCACCCTTTGGTGCAACCATATTCATATTAAGTTAAAATGAAATGTCACTTGTATCAAAAGAATAAAGAGCAGATTTTTTTACATCTTCCAACTTTCAGAATACAAAAACTAAAAACAAAATTGGTCTAGAACAAAGGATTTTACATTCGTTTATTCATAATGGACAACATGGGTTTTCCTATGGTTGGAATTGAAAATTTGACAAACATCTTATAGAATCTACCGAATGCAAGTTTGGCAACTAGAACTACAAGTAAACTATGTGCCCGATCAGTCTTTTTATTGATGAGGATTCGAACTTGATGCCTCTTTCAACATTAAAAAGCAAAATATCACTAGAACACTGAATGTGCCTGATCATGTTAAATTTAAGTTTTATTGACGAGAGTATGGGCTGGAGATGATGGTCTCTCGGCAAGCAGAGGGGCTGCTTGGCCTGCAAGAATAAATGGATTCGAACCATCAACATTCTCTTTGTCGAGCTGAAACACAGGCACCAGTCTCCTCAAACTATAGAGGAACTGAATGCACCCTGCAGATCAAGTCAATAATAAATCAATTAAACAAACAGTTAGTGAATATCACTTCGATCTAGAAAATTTGAGGACCTTGGATAGTTTCACTTACAAACTACAACAACAAAACAAACCAAGGTAAGAGTGTTGATCAACCAGCGAATGCACCATTCTAACGGCGTGAATATCATCAATTTGAGTCCGATTACCACCAATGTAAGTATTGATAAACAGGTCCACGTCAGCACCACCAAAGGAATAATCCCAACCTGCAACCGAAGGAATAAATCCAACCTGCACAATCACATGGCTACTGCCACCCCTGCACAACTCTCTCAACTATCTGCTGTACAACCTGGACAACAGATCGCACCACCAAAGGAATAATCCCTGCACATTCACATGGCTACTGCCACCTTTATTGTTGTTTATCTGCTATCTTTATTATTGTTTATTGCATGCTTGTATATGAAATTGTATATAAACCATGCTGCCATTGCAGCATCGGGTTGTGAAAAATATAAGTGATCAGAGCAATATTCTTTATGGTATCTCAGAGCTGACAGTCTAACGACCAAAAGCTTTATTTTTTTTTTTTATTTTTCTCTCCCATGGCGTCCAGTTCAAGTCCCTCCCATCTCTCTCTTCCAAATGCTTCCAACTTTCTGACTATCAAGTTGGATCGTACCAACTATCCCCTATGGCATGCCCAGATGTTGCCCTTGCTTCGCAGCAGGAATCTGGTGTCTTTTGTCGATGGAACCAACCCATGTCCTCCTGCCTTCTTAAAGGACGATGATGGCCAACTCACTGATAAAACCAATCCTGACTTTGATGCATGGATTCAGCACGATGCTATGGTTCTCTCTTGGATCAACAGTTCGGTTCATCCCACAGTTCTTGCCTCTCTTATTGGTAAGACCAGTTCTCTTTCTGCATGGACTTGTTTACGTGACAAGTATGCTTCTCAGTCTACTGGCCGCCTCCTCTAATTGCGTAGTGAGCTTATGAATACCCATCGTGGTGATTCCTCTATTGCTGAGTTTCTTGATCGTATTAATTGTCTTGCTGACACTCTCTCCCTCTCTGGTTCTCCTGTGACTGACTCTGATCTTGTTGCCATTATTTTAAATAATGTTGGGCCTGCTTATGAGAGTACTGTTGCTTCTGCACAAGCACGGGATGAGGCCATCAATTACAGTGCCTTGGAGGCTCTTCTTCTTGGTGCAGAGAGACGTCAAAAGCTTCATACTATGTTTGAAACTGGGCCCACTGCCCTTGTTGCTGGAAGAGGTCGTTCTGGCTCTTCCCGTGGTCGTGGTGCTCCTCGCGGAGGCCGTGGTCACTTCAATGGCAGCCGTGGTCAGTTTCCTCCTCGTCCTCAAGCCCAAGACCACTATGCTCCTCCACCCCGACAAACCCATGATGGCGTTCTTGGTGCTCCTCCTTCTCCAACCCAATCTGGTGGCCGTATCCAATGCCAAATATGTCGTCGTCACGGCCATTCTGCAATCGATTGTTTCAATCGTCTTAATATGGCCTATGAAGGACGTGTTCCTGCTCCACGTCTCCAAGCTTATGCTGCTGCTGCACCGTCTCCGGCATCTGCCTCTCCCTCTGGCATTCAAAACTGGCTTTTTGACTCTGGAGCCAATGCACATATCACCAATGATTTACATCAGGTTTCGAATCCTCGTCCCTACAATGGCACTGACAATGTTAATGGCGTGGTGGATGGATCAGGTTTGCACATTTCTCATGTTGGCACTTCTTTTCTTCACACACCCAATCACTCATTTACCCTTCCCAACACCCTTCACTGCCCTAATGCTTCTACTAATGTTATTTCCATCAATCAATTTACCAAAGACAACCATTGTTCACTGACCTTATATCCCAATTCCTATCGTATTCAGGACCTTCAAACGGGGAAGATGCTTTTGCACGGCCGGAGTAAAAATGGTTTTTATCCATTTTCAAGTTCTTCTGTGGTCAACCATGGAGTCTCTGCATTTGTTGGTGTTAGAGTGTCGGATGCTATTTGGCATTCTAGGTTAGGTCACCCTGCAATTTCTGTTTTGCGTCGTCTAATTTCCCAAAATAAATTACCTTTAACTGGTAATGCAACCTACGACTTTTGTTCATCCTGTCCCCTTGGCAAAAGTCATAAGTTGCCATTTAATTTATCTTCTTCCCAGTCATCGTGTCCTTTGGAATTAATACATTCCGATGTATGGATTTCTCCTTCTTATTCAATTAATGGTTACAAGTATTATGTTGTTTTTGTAGATGAATTTTCTCGTTATGCATGGCTCTATCCTTTAAAATTAAAATCTGATGTTTTTCAAACCTTTGTTCATTTTAAAAAGCTTGCAGAAAATATGTTCAACACCAAAATTAAATTTTTTCAATCTGATGGTGGAGGAGAGTTTGTCAATTCCTCTTTTAAACACCTTTTCTCTCAACATGGCATTCATCATAGGCTCAGTTGTCCTCATCATCCCGAGCAAAACGGTCTTGCAGAACGTAAACATCGTCATCTTGTTGAAATTGGCTTAACTTTACTTGCTCATGCGTCTCTTCCTCACACTTTCTGGGATGACGCTTTTCACACTGCAAATTATCTCATTAATCGTCTTCCCACCAAAATCTTGAATGGCGTCTCCCCTTTCCAAAAACTGTTTTCAAAATCACCCCAGTATGATTTTCTCAAAGTATTCGGTTGTGCTTGTTTTCCCTATTTACGTCCATACACTGATACTAAACTTAAGTTTCGATCAAAACAATGCATTTTCTTAGGATACTCATTAAATTATCAAGGTTATAAATGTTATGATCCTACCACTGGCAAGTCTTTTCTGTCTCGTCATGTCATTTTCAATGAGAAGAGTTTTCCCTATACAGACCTTGCTACTCCGACCTTGTCAAAACCGAGTCAGTTGGACCATGTCCTGCCCATTGATACCTTCCAGTACACCCCACCACGTTCGACCCCACGGACCCCTCCTTCCCTTGTCGCCACCTCACCCTCTCCCATGCTCCCTACCCCGGCCTCCCATACTATCCTTCCATCCTCTACCCCAGACTCCCATTCTCACCCACCAACTCCCACTACTCACGTGAATATTGAACCTGCCAACACCACTTCTCACACTGTTCCATCCACTCATCCCATGATCACGCGTGGTCAACAAGGAATTCGAAAACCAAATCCCAGATATGCTTGCATCACTACTGTTACTAATACTTTGGTTGAGCCCACATGTTTCTCCCAGGCCAATAAGTCTCCCCAATGGCGCCAAGCAATGGCAGATGAATTTAACGCTTTACAGCGTACAGGCACTTGGACTTTGGTACCCTACAAGTCTTCTATGAATGTGTTACCAAATAAATGGGTGTATCGCATAAAAAAGAACTCTGATGGTTCCATCGAGCGTTTTAAAGCTAGACTAGTTACAAATGGATTTCATCAGCAAGAAGGCATTGATTTCTGCGAAACCTTCAGTCCGGTGGTCACCCATGCCACCATTCGGCTCATTCTCTCTATTGCTCTTCATTTTCAGTGGCCTATCCGCCAGCTTGATGTTCAAAATGCCTTCCTTCATGGCACCTTGAATGAGGAAGTTTATATGCGCCAACCTGCAGGGTTCATTGATCCACAGTTTCCCTCTCATGTGTGTCGACTTCGAAGGTCCCTATACGGTTTGAAACAAGCACCCCGTGCTTGGTTTCAATGTTTTTCCCAGAAACTAGAAGACTTGGGCTTCACTGCTTCCCAAGCTGACTCGTCTCTCTTCACCTATTTTGATGGCTCAACAATCCTTTATCTTCTCATCTATGTGGATGACATTTTAATCACAGGGAACAACACTGCTCACTTGTCTCAGTTTATCACGCAGCTTGGTGCTCATTTTGCAATGAAAGATCTTGGTCCCTTACACTACTTCTTGGGGATGGAGGTTTCCCGGACGCCTTCTGCCTTCTGCCTTCTATCTCACTCAATCCAAGTACATTTTGGAGCTTCTACAGAACACTAATATGGCTGACGCCAAGCCCATCTCAACGCCAGTTCCCAGTGGTAAACGCTTGAGTTTATATGATGGTGAGCCCCTCTCCGATGGATCTTCTTTTCGCAGTGTTGTGGGCGCCCTTCAATACCTTCTCTTTACCCGTCCTGATATTGCTTACGCTGTCAACCAAGTATGTCAGTACATGCACTCTCCAACTACTGCACATTGGGCTGCAGTCAAACGCATATTACGGTATTTGAAAGGCACACATGATCATGGTTTAATTTACAAACCCAGTCCTCTCACCCTAACTGCCTTCGCCGATGCTGACTACGCTGGCGACCCTGATAACCGTCGTTCCACTGGCGGTCACTGCATATTTCTTGGCGATAATTTAATTTCCTGGAGTTCGAAAAAGCAACGTGGAGTGTCACGAT